ATTAAACAAATTTAACTTTAAAAAATATTTGTCATATTCCATGAAAATTGGTATTTGCACATTAATGACACTTCTTGAAACTTTTTCCCTAAAAATGGCTTGATAATAACACAATTTCCTACATTTGTGAATAACTGAAGACGTTATTATTATTATATAGATAAACTGATATAGAATAATTGAAATAAACATGTACACATATGAGCCAATTAAAATTCAAATATATAAATTAAATATTCAAGAAAAAATATAAAAATGACTCAATTTTGAATCACATGCATTTAATTTCAAATTGGGTCCAAATGTATTGAATTTTTTTATAATTGGAAAAATAAATTTAAATTATATTTATTTGCAAAATAAGTCCGGTGGTGATCAGAATGACGTGCAAGATGGATCACATTTTGTAAAGTTAAAAATATTCACAATAATCGTTAACAATCATGTCAATAACAAATCACTTATTTTTTGCACGTAATTTATGTGGAATGTAATCTAATATATTTTTTTAGATATGACATTGATAGAATTTTCATAAAATGATAATAAAAGACATCAAATAATATTATATAAATTATAAAATAGTAAAAATTATTTGATAAACTAACATTTATGATATATGATAACAAAAGTAGTTGATGCATTATTGTAAGTAACATTGAATTGTATCTACTGCAAAGATTTAGCAGTGATAATATATTGTTGTCATTATCTTAAGAAAAAATATATTGTTGTCATTATCTTAAGAAAAAAAAAAACACGTGTTATAATAATAAACAGTTAACAATAGTTAACACATTGTGCTAATTTTATTTATAAAAATTTATAATTGCATACATAGATCAATGAAGAGATTAACAATGTAGGCAGACAATTTAGCCTCAAACTTTTAGATGACCTCGGATTTAAGTCTAAATGAAATAAATGATCTCAACCAACTATAAAATAAAATAAACAAACTATGTATTTTGGGCTCAAGCTATTCAATGTTATGCTTTTCACATCGGGTGTTTACAAACTCATACAAAATGTCTCATATATAACAAACATTCCATTAAATAATTGAATGATAAATATATATTGTCTTATTCAGTCTTCATAGTTAAAATCATATCATCACTCTTTCTCTCCAATATGGTTGAGACACCCTTACTCTTTCTATTAACAATTTTTTTTTTTTCTTTCACAATATTATTCTGCAATATTAGTCTATTTCTCACTCGCAAATGAAACCAAATTCAGATGTCACGTTCAAACACTAAAATCATCTAACTTTTAT